GAATGCCGAAAAAGAACATTCATACAGAATATGCTGTAAAAACTGAACAGGTTTTGTTTTGTGGTGGTGTTTGTGGGGTGGGATGGTTGGGCATTATCATGCTTGATCTGGTAAATGAGGAAAATTGGAGAAACGGCAATTTATCAGCAAAGTAACCTCTTGGTTTTCTGTTAAGTAAGTCTTATAAGAAAAAGTAGGTCAAGCTAGCATTTATCCATTCCAGCACTGCGTAGCTGGCAGGAGCCTAAGCCACTGCTTGCTGACTCAGAGGAAAGCCATCTCTGGAGTTACACTGCCCAAAGACCCACAGTTGTTTACCTTCTATTATTTTGGGAAGGGATTTTTTAACATTCTTTTTCCCTGCTAGGAGAAACAACAAGGGTGAAGCCACATATTTAATACAAAAGTCAAATGCTCAGCTAGCATAACATACTAACTTCTTTAAAACTAATGAAGTTGTACCAATTTATAGCAGCACAAGAACTGGCTCAAAGTATTTTACACGTTTTTTGCCTGCCCAGAAACTACAGAGCTATCGTGCCATCTTAGCACAGGCCTTTCATAGCTCCGATTCTTTATCTATCTCATCTAGGTAGTATTCATCGTCGGTGGTGGTGTCGCTGTCTGAATCTGAATAAGCAGCTGGGTCTTCCCGATAGATATCGCTCAGCTCTCGGGGGGATGAGGCAGCCGATGACATTTTACTCCCAGCAGAACCTGAGCTCAAAAGCTCAGCCCTGTTTATAGAAGGGGTCTCTCCATCTCTGAGAGCACCAGGGTTATTAAGAAGACAAGGTCTCCACAATCGCCCTTCCGTGAGTGACCTCTTGATATTCTCCAGGAAAGCCAACTGTTGTTCTTTGCCAAATATACCAAATTCAACAGAAGGATACATCAAATTTCTAGTGCTGTAACATTTTTCATTGTCTGATGCCCAGTTTTCATTTTCATCACAAGACAACAGCTCCGAGTAAGATTTAAATCTCTTCCCGTGTATACCATCTGTTGGGAGAATATTGCTTCTGGAGGCAAAGGTCTCATGGGAATCTCGAGGACAAATACTCTCAGAAAGGTGACGCTCACGCTGACTTCTGGCATGACTCTTGCGCAACTGATAGCTACGCAAGTTAGCGTTGTTTAAGCTAGCAGACTGAAAGGTATTTTGACAGTGACCACGCACTGTCTGGGAAGTCGAGTCTTGCTCTGGACATACATCTGCCTGCAAGCAGCTACTTACATATGTGTTTGAGTTTTTGTCAGTTAAAAGTGGCAAGGGAGGACTGCAGCCACGACTGCTAGCTCTTCTTTTGTGATCATTCAGTGGGTCTGATGTAGGAGCAGTGGGAGAGATGGGCTGGCTTTTGCTTTCTAACCTGAGATCAAGTATTTGGGAATTCTTATTTCTTGTGGTTACTGCTTTATCTGGAAATAGAGTTGTAAGACTTGGCCTGTTTTCTACTTTCACTGTAGTTTTTTTGGGACTGATGGCTACCTTCTGGGTGTGTGAGCTTGTAAAAGACCTCCAATTGGTGTTATTAACAAGCAAAGAAGGATCATTCTGATTTTCAGTTGTCGTCTTCTCAGCTGTTCCTGGTCTTGGCGTATTCTTACCAGGGTCCAGACTGTGATTCTGGTTGTCATTCTCTGGCTGCAGGAATGGCTGATGGGAATCCGTTGAAATCAATGAGTCAAGGAACATGTCGACCTCTAAAGAAGTAGCGCTTCCATCATTCTGTGAGAAAATGTTACTTATGTGCGGTTTGGGGGGTAAATTTTTACTTGAAAATTTTCGACTTGTTTTGTAAACAGCTGCCAGTTTATTTTTAATTGAAGGTCTGTTTTTCCTTTTTTCTATATCTTTGATTTTGTCTCTTGTGCAGTCAGAGAGAAGCTTGTTCTCATCTTCTGCACTCTGTGTTGTCTTCTGATCTTCTGTAACCCTGAGGACTTTATAGTTAATGTTTGGGCTGCCTTCACTGTGCCTTTGTGATTCCTGCAACCCACTATAATCTTTACCCATCTGAATACTCTGTGAGTTTTGCTCTTTTTTAATTTTTAAATTCTTTAATTCATCTGTATCTGTGCTAACCGCTTTGTCTAGTAATAGATCAGCACTGGAAGCTGTGCTTACCTCAGATGCTTTGTTCTGAGACTCTGAAAGCACTCTGCTACAGGAGTTTAAATCATTTGCATTTTTTCTTGAACTGTCAGCCCTTAATTGCAGTCCACTACATTTATTATTATACAGAGGGGTGGTTTGGTGTAGGAAATTTACTCTCTGTTTGAATTCATTACTATCCCTGTACGTGTCTTCCGCAGGAAGACGCGGCACATCAGCACGCTCTGTGTTACCGTTCCTTCCAAGGGAACTCTTCTCTCCTGGGGGGAGGAGTAAACTGTTCAGATTTTTATTGGCGTTCACTTTAGGGGGCTGACAGCAGTTTTCAGAGTTTCCCTTCTGTATAATATTTTTATTTGTTGAAGTAGAATACAAAGGACTCTCTAAACGTCTGCCTGGCTTGGGAGAGGTTGATAAAGTGGACATTAGCGGTGTGGCTGTTTGTAAAATTTCCTTCTTTTCTTTTAGAGATATTTCTGCATTTTGGCTGCTTGAAGCATTACAAATGGCCTTACCTGACTTAGCCACTATTGCAGTGGGTTGTGGACCACCAGAAGAAATTTCTTTTGTCACTGTGTCAGACAGCACATTTTCTGTTAATGAAAGATCTGCTGAACTATCTTTCCTGCTATGTACTATGCTCATTGACTTTGAAGCATATATCTTCTCAGAGCTAGGAGATAAGTGGGAATTCTTTTCTTCACTATCAACAGCACTTTCTAAGTTCTGAGGTGTGACCAGAGCTGAAGATACTTGGTCAGAAGAATACGAAGGCACCTCTTTTTCCAAAGTACTGGGGAAAAAAACATTTGCTAAACTCACATGACCTTCGTGTTTCTTGTTTTGTATTCTTGGTGACTGAGCATTTTCTTTGGGACAAGGTAAATCTGCATCCTCTGGATCATCCCTAAAGAGGTTAGAAAATGTTCTTGAATGCCTCCGTGGTAATGTGTAATAAATTGAAACTAGTTCATGATATTTGACGTGATCTTCATCAACACAAACTGTAAAAGTGCTTGTAGTTTTATATTTCTGTAAAAAATTTCCTCTCTCCTTACAATCTGAAAACACGGAGGATTCTCTTCTACTTAGATGTTTACATCTGTCTGTCAGTTCAACTGACGTACTACTACTTACCGAATCATTAGGACTTTTGGTTAAAGGACTGGGGTAATCTTTTTCTTTGCTACTTGTAGCAGCATTTAATGATGCTGATGTTAAAAAGGAATGTTTTGAGTCTAAACAAGACACACCTCTTTGATTAGAACAACAGGCATCAGCTCTATGTGGAGTTTCAGATCTTACACAGTTGTACGTTGTTCTGCTTTCTCTAGGTAAAGAGATGGGCGTATCTGTCGTAACACTACCAGCAATGCTAGCTGATTTTCTAGGCAAAGTGTAATAAATGACAAGTGGGTCAGGAGATTTCAGGCTGTTTCTGCTAGGGGAGCCAGTAATGCTGCAGCTACTGGTATGTCTCAGCAAGCTGTCTTGCTTGTGAAGCCTTTCAATACAAGGTGAATTACTCCTTATTTTTCCACTTTCTTTTTCAAGGCAAAAATAACTTAAACTATGTTCAGAGGTCTTGGGGTCTCCATCAAAGCTATGCATATTAATATTTCCAGAATTTCCATTTTGTGGAGAACTAGTAGTGAATTGTCCATTACAGTCCTTAGTTACTAAAGTGCTTGCATTTTGCAGTGCTTTCTCTGAAATCTTTTTGGTAACGCCTATTCTGCTCACTTGAGCTGTTTTTCCACCTTCTGCTTGAGATTCAGTAACTGTGCAATTTACTGAAGAGCTAGTTAGTGTTCCTAAACATTTAGAATTGTCCTTATGAGAAAGTGCTTGTGGAGAGCTTTGTGAGGAGCTAGATGAACATTCAGGAGGACAGGACAACATGCCTTGACAGTTTGCTAATTTTTCAGTGGATGGAGCAGGAGCAACATTCAGCAGTGAGGACTGTCTCTTTGGAGTAGCTTGGTTAATGGCTTCTGTACTCCGATTATCCTGTTTGATGCTCTCTCTTTTTGCTGCATAATGAAGATTATGTTCCCATTCTTTTTGACTTGGAAGAAAAGGTTCTTTCCGGCTCTCATCAGCTGGCAAAATACGAGGAGGCTGACTGAACACACTGTTGGGTGGGCAATCGTTTTCCTTCATTTGTACATTTCTTTTATCACCATTTGATGTATACATTTTTGCAGTATCTCCTCTGGCAGTGGCTTGGGTTTGTCTCTTTGATCTCATTGTGTTAAAGAGAGATGCATCGCTTTGCAACATGGCAGAAGCAGGGCTGTTAGAGGGAAAACTCTGAGTGTTGATGTAGTTTGTATCTGCTTGTTGAGAAACTGACTGTAACGGCATGTGGTCATCTGGCAGTTTCGTACCTTCAGCCTTTTCTAGTTGTGTAAAGTCTGCCTTAGTACTTCTTTGGGTAATGATGACTGAATTCCTGTTCAGTCCTTTAGGTTTTGTTTGCTCCTTCAAATTAGGAAGGACTGACTCATCAGTTCTGATACTAGATGAAGAAACTGAAGAGCTACAACTTAGCCAAGGCTGACAGCCCTCAGTGAATTCTGAAAAAGTTCTATTTGCACTTCTTGTTATCCTTTTGACATTCATATTTTCTGGAGAATACATGTGAAAATCGTTCTGCAGGCGCCGTGAACCAAACTTGGCATTCTTTGTATGTGCCCACTGCCGGTCATTTAAATTAGCGATAATCACTTCAAAGCTGGCATCAGGGGAAATAAACACTTCATCACTGTAGTACTGAGGAATATCAGCCCAAGAAGGATAGCTGTCTTTTTTTCCATAAGGAGAATTTTTTTGGTTTGCATACAACTTGTCATGAGAAGTATCTCTATAGTAGGATCTAGAGAGATTATTTTCCGATTTGTATAATGGATAATTTTCCCAGTTATCAAAGGGCAATGGAGAAATAGCTTTGTCAGGGCAACTAACTCTACTAAAGCAACTACTGCTTGAAATAGATCTTCTGTAGTGGTGTTTTGAGTGGTAAGATGCATATTTCTTGGTTTCTTGCAAAGAGCTAGGGTATCTACCATGGTCTGCAGCATGAAACTCCATCAGTGATTGGGTTCTAAACATTTTTTCTTGAGTTGATGTTTGTCCAGGAGAGTCCGGTGTGTTGTTCCATACAATAGAAGATAGAGGAATTCTCTTTGGGTTCTGTCGACCAAACCTTGGTACAAAACCATTGCTGCTCTCCCTTGCCAACGGATGTTGTAAACTAGATGCTGATAGCTGGTCAGAAGATACTGACGATGGACATCTCCGAAGGGAACATACAGAGTAACTTCTGCCAGCTGTATCCCTGTTCATACAACTCTTGTGCCTAAATCCACTGTTCTGTGTTATGGAAGGAGGATGTAAGCTTCCTTCTGAAGACCGTCCAAAAGAAACGGAAGATAGCCTGCTGCTTAGCAGATGAGGATTTCCATCAACTGGATCACCGTATTTGTAATCTTCTTGAAAGGCTGTCTGGTGCCAGTTTATATATGCACTGTGTAATTTCCTTGGTCTGATGAAAATCTTGTGTTCATCTTTGGCTCTTATTGTTCTCAGTCCATCTGGGAAAAATGTGCTAGGCATGTCACTCCAGTCATTTCTGTGTTGCCCCCTACTAGCAGTCTGCCTCTTTGAAGTAGGGAAGGCACTACTGTATGGGACACTTGATGTGCTGCTAGTAGAAACTGTCCTGTCCAATGGGTCTTGGGCTTGTTCCTGAGCCAGCTGATCATCCAGATCATTTAGAACTGCACAGGGGAAAAAAAAAAAAAAAAAAAAATGAAATTTGTTTTTTTTTTTTTAA